TCATGTAAAGCGATATTCGAATTGGTCAAAACGCAGTCGATTTCAAACTTCCGTATCGCCATTATGAATAAATTTGACCAACTTTTAGACGGTATCGACGATTCTGTTCGTTTAATAGCCACCGGACTCACTGCGTTATTCAAAACTGTGTCCAAAACCCATCAACATGTCGAGTATCGGTTGTTCAAAACTAATTTTTTTTTTTGGCCGATTAATACTTCCTTCGGTTTTCGATAATAGTCCCACATTTTTGTGTACAGCTTCTGCGAATTTATTTTTTATTCTTGTGGAATAATTTGCTATTATCATCGAATTTTCGGGTGATACCCCAGTTCAGAATAATAAAAAAAAAAAAAACAAAAATCGGAAATTGTCGAAATCACCACTACCAACTTAGAAAATGAAAAATCCCACCAATCTATCCGTAACTGTAGTACCAACCTACTACCAATATATGTCTCCGAAAATTCTCGTATTCAAATTTATTTATTTTCCAATTCAAATATTATCAAATAGTTATTGACATGGGAAATTAAAAATATTGCAGATTTTACGAGTTGTTTTCCGGAAAACCCGTGAGATACGTGAGAGATAGGGCGAAAAGGTTTTTAAAACCTGATTATTTGAAATAACAACTTCAACGGAAAATATTCGCCCGGAAAATTTTTTGACCACCAGTTTCCATATTTGAAAAATCTCGCTTACTTACTTGTTTTAGTTGTTAGTAGACATTTATTTTAATAGTACTGAGGCTCTGCCGGAAAATTCCGGCGTGGGCCAATTCAAAAATTATTATGTAATTGTAACCAAAATTAATTTATAATATTTGTATTACTTACCGCTTGTGGATGGCAATCTGTCAGAAATGACTATATTATATATTAATTTGGTTCTCATGCACATATGTGCAGCTGCAAAATATTTACGTCGTAATGATTCTGAAAATGATTGTGAGTTATATGATAAATGATGACATAATGATTAATTTTTTAAAATATACAATGCAAATTGCATAAAAATTCCACAAAGGTATACAATTATTGATAAATAAACCGCAAAATAAATTACATTTTTAAACAAGTTATTTAACACCATCTAGTGTTGAATTTAGTCATATTTATTAAAATTATATGATACTACACTTCTATATGTGTCTATAATGTTGAATTTATACATTATACATTATATCAATATAAATATTTATTAGGCCTTTGACAGTGTGGATCATTAATTACTCTCTATAGCTTTAGATCAATTAGGTTTTGGTGATCCTCTATTGTCCTGGCTTATAAACAGTATATCAATAGTTTTAACAAAATTCCACTTCTTATTTTTTGCTGATGATCTAAAAATGTATTCTTGTATTTCTTCAATTAGTGACTGTATAATTTTTCAAGATGAATTAAATACCTTATATAATTGGTGCCAGGCTTGGGGAATGAGCTTAAACATTATAAATGCTACTCGATGAGCTTCTATAGGTCTTGTGAGCAATGTGAGCATATTAATTTTACTTATTGTATAAACAATAATGAACTTAATTTAATCTCATAAATTGGAGACCTAGGTACCTATAACCTTAACCCATAATTTAAATTTTCAGGAACATAGAATATATAGTAAAAAATTACTTTGTGTGTTAGAATTGAATAAACAATTATTATTATTATTAATATTTAATGAAAGCCAAGTAGGGTCACAAACAAAAAAATAAATATTGAAGCTACCCACCCAAAGTTACAAACATTTAAAACTTGAATGCTCAAAAATAGTTTGTTCATGGTTGGTGAATCTTTGTAACACAGAACTCGTAATAATTTTGATTATTCTTAATTAACTATTGATAAAATAATATTATGTGTTCATTTGTACTCTTTTATATACCAATGACATTACGACGCTGTTATTGAAATACACGATTGAGTGATATACATTTCCAATAATAATATGATGCAACATATGTTGAAAATGGTGTGATGCTATTAATTTTATGTTCAACAAAAGTTATTTGTTTTAAATGCAGTTTCAAAAACTTACATACATACATACATATTAATATAAATTGTAAATTCATCAGAATATATAAGCAGTATAAAACTTAAAATTGCTTTTATTTGCCTAAATTCTATATATATATCTTATGTATAAGGTACCTAGTAACTTAAGATACAAACAAAAATAATGTATAAATTATAAAACTAAGATTTTATATATTATGTATTAAAGAAATTATATAGCTGTAATTTAAAATATAAATATAATATATTATACATATTTTGTCTAAGTTTATCAATAAATAGAAGCAAAAAAAAACACATTCAAATATACATTAAATAGAAATATAACTTTAAAAGTATGAAGTGAAGAATACATTGTATAGTACAGTAGAGATGGGACAAGTTTACTTTAATTAACTGATTCATTTTTTTTCAATTAAATTGACTGGTTCAGACTGTACAGTGAATCATTTGTTCATAAGAATCATAGTTTATTAGTTCTGACCGCCACTGACGTCTGATAAGTTCATTTAATTGAATCATTAATCAAACACGAGTTATTTCTTATCATAATTAAATTAAATTAATACAAAATAATTTATTATAAAAATGTAAATATCCAGTATACAAGAAGTTTCTATATCAATTTTATGGTTTTTATAGATCAAATTTGAATTTAAATAATGTAAAAATATTAGTTTGTCGACCCATTATAAAGACAGTACACAAAAATCATCTACATTTTATATGGAATTAAGTAAAAAGTAATAATAATTATATTAATCTCAATTATTTACACACCAATTAGGTGTATCTATTTAATTTAATTTTTTATTTATTTTAAATAAACAAACCATGTTTAGTAATCAAAGGTGAGATATTTATCAATATTGAAAACTGGTTGAACAGTGATATGATATGATATTTTAATATTTTAGTCCAGTAAATATTTAAACATAAATGCAATCAGCCAGGGAAATTTTATTTTAGCATATTGAAAATATAAATTAATTTCTTAAATTGCATTTTAACCATTTCTTATTTTTTTTTTTGCATCTATTAATAAGACAAATTTCAATTCCCTAAAGTAGAGTTCAATTATGGTAAAAATATTAACTTCAAAAATATAAAATTTGTTTGTTTGTTTGTTTTTTTCAAATGTTTTATTAATTGTAATTTACTTTTTAATAAAATAGTAAGTTTTTGTATCAAGTGTAAAGTAGCTGAAGTGAATTGTTGTGAACAAGACATCTCTATCTAAATTGTAGATGAATATTTCCAAAAAAAAAAAAAAAAAATGTTTGCATAGGTAGGTACTTGGTTTATTAAAATTTAATAAATACATAACTTCTTTGTTTACCATATATCTTACAAAAAACAGTTAAAGACTATTATGAATATTTATATAAATAAATATGAGTAAAGTTAATTATTTTCCTATTTATTATTATTGTTATTTTTTTAAAAAAAATATGCATACATTTTTACTATGTGTGATAGTCTCTGGTGGTTAAGGGTTAAAAAATTTACATTGGTGAAAATATGTTAAATGGCCAAGGACCATTGATGAACCTTGCAATATTCTATAATTATGAGTTTATTACTTTACTAGGTAGATAGTCGACCTCCTGTGGTCCCACGTTTTGATAAGTGAGTCAACAGCCTTTTGCTAATGTGAACCAGTCGTGAACCAAATTGATGAAATAACGAACACAGTTATCGCTATTAGAGCAGACGATATAATTTATTGATTAACACGATCGATGGTTTAAGTTATACACACGGGTTAGAACAACTAAACGTGGTTGGTGTTGGTAGACAGAAAGCAGTTCGCGGGGGGAACAATAACGAACGCGGTGGACTTATACGATTTTAAAAACACCTCCGTCTACAGCGACTGTACTACCTCGGCACGTCTCGAAGCCGGAGCAAATCAGGCCGTCGGTAGCTGAAAACGAGCGAGCGTTTCTATCCAGAGTAGAGAGAGGAGAAAATGGTTGAAAATGGAAAACCGTTGAGTGAGTCGAGAATCGAAATAGTTATGCGTTGGCGTTTTGCTGAATAATGATGAGGGACCCAGGCCGCAGGGACGCCGTTTGACAACGAGCGGTGGTGCCAACCTCGGCAGTGTAACCGCCGGGAGAGAATATTGTGGTGACGCGGCTCGCTACCGGCAAGATACAGTTATCCCAATCATGATAAGAACTCAGTCATATCGTGGTACCAACCTTGAAAACAAAAATCCCGAAGTATTCTTTTTACTAGATAGAGACCGCACACTTGAAATACAGCGCACTCAAGTGGACAATCTCTGAAATTCTTCCAGGAGACAAAATATTATATTATATTATAATAAATAATTAAATAATAAATATTTTATATTAAAAGGAAAATTATTACATAAATTTATGTATATTTTTTTTTCTATTTTAAAAAACGTTTTTCTAAATTATTAGAAAATATTGTAGGTAGTCATTTTTTTAGCAAATTATTTAATATTTTATTTTATTGTAATATATATATTTCCTTTTGATTTGAAAGTTCATAATTTTTAAAATTATTGAATTGTTTAATAGTACAATTGGTCAGTCAAATGATTAATGAACCAATAGCTTTAGAAGCATTCAATCAGATATACAATAAATATGTAGTAATAGGTGGTTGAAAAGTAGATATTAAGTGACCTTGGCTATGTGCAAGTTCAAATTGACTTATTTTGAACGGAAAACACAGAAAATTATATTTTTGTATTGAACCAAGTCAGAATATTGATAATGGCTGATAAAAACTATAGTTTATCATATGATAAAGTTTGTTCTATTTTTAGTTGGTCTATTGTTGTTATTTATATGGAGTGAGTGCAACATTTTTGGGTAATTTCAATTTATTTTTTTTTTAATACATTGACAAATGACAAGTGAGTCAAGTGACTTTATTTGACAAAACATTTTTGACTTAACCTAATTGTTTAAGTGTATAATTATTCTAAAACTATATAAAAAAATGAACGATCAACAAGTGGACAGACCTTTACATTTATTAGATCACAATTATTTTTTACCAGGTATCTTTACATTTAATAACCTATTTATTTAGTTATTTAAACATAATATATATAATATATAAGAATATATAAGTGTTATAAAATAATTTAATTATTTATCACCTAATTTAGTTATATATCCAGACATTGTTGATGAAGTAGAGACACTAAGTTGTGGCGAGTCTGATGATGATGATGTCTTATCCGATGGAGAAAATGAAGGTGAATTAATTTAGAACCTCTGTTTTCTTGTCTAAAAAAAATTGGTTTTCTGTTAAAATATTTTTTTTGATTGTGTAATAAAAATTAATACTTATATATATTAAATTAAATAACATAGTTCCAGTAGAACAAAATCCCGAGACTTATACCATAATTCCAGGAGTTCAGGTTGGATCTCAAATTTATGTGGACAACTTAAATTTTAAGTACTATAAAAAAAGTTCTGTAAGAAACCGTTTGTAAGTCTATATACCTGATGAAAATTATGATTAGAAAAATAAAATTAATTATTACTAATACTATAACTGAAATAACCACCTCTATCTTTTATGTTCTTAAAGATATTTAGTTTGCCACAGAAAAAATCATAATGATTGGCCATTTTGCCCTGCCACAGCTATTGTTAACTTGAACAATCCAGGTCACCTTTCATTAAACCGGAAGCATATCCATAGGCCTGAAACAATAAATAAGCCATTAGCATTCTTTAGAGAAGCAGTTTCTCAAAGAGTCCTTTCACCTGGAAATTTATCCTCTTCTATTAGACTAGTCTACAATCAGGAAATTGTCAAGTAAGTATAACCATGAAACAATAATACATTTCATTGTACTTAAAAATTGAAATTGTAGTCACCCTGAAGCAGCAGAAAACTATACATGTCTTCAAACAGAACATAGAATTAAAAGACAGCGACGTTGTAGGCGACCCCCTCTTCCCAGCTCACTAGATCATTTAGTACAAATATTAAATGATCCCATCCACAAAAAGTACAGTCACACGATTCGAAGACCTCCGACTAGGTAAAAAAAAAATATATTAATAGTTTAATAATAAAAGCAAAAAGTTAATCATAGTATTCATAACAAATCAATCACTTACACGATGAAGTATACTAATATATTTTATAAAACGCAGATTTTTCCGAAGTGATTGGCCTTTGATAGTTGACGGCAACCAAGTAGGTGTTGTATTTGCCAATATGGAAACAATAGAGAGGTATCGTGCAGAATTGGGCACTGTTGTTGTAGCTGGAATTGATGGTACATTCAAAACAGTTCCTAAAAGTCCACCAGAACTTAGGAAGGGTGCTTTTGTCACATTCCAGATAGTGTATAGGAGTGTAGTAAGTAGAATTTACTATAAATAAAATAATATTGTATTAAAATTTCAAAATGTATTGTCCATTGAAAAGAAAATTAATTAATGTATACAATAATATTTTAAGCATAAAGAACAATTGAATAATCATTTTATGGCACCAAGTAATTTTTTTCTTGCACGTCATATTTTGAAACTTTTTTTTAGTACATATAAATATTCGCTCTAATCATAGTTTATCAAGTAAATGGTATACCTTGTACTTTGCAGTCATTCCCAATGGTATATGCATTCCTCATTTCAATGGACCAAGAAAGCTACCAAGCACTGTTGAATGTAATCCGTAATTTGCTGCCATTAGATTACGAACAACTGTGTATCATTACAGATTTCGAAATGCCATTAATGAATGCAGTTCAAACTCTAATGCCTGAAACTAAATTAATGGGGTGTTGGTTTCATTTTTGCCAGGTAAGCATATAAAAGTAAAAAGAGTACAAACTTTGAATAGCATTTTCAACACTATCTTCGAATGTATATGAATTTCATTTCACAGGCAGTCATAAGATACAGTAAACGGAAATTGAACAGTGTGTACCATCTTTTTCAAAGTAGCCCTATTGCATCCAGAGTTTTGAGAATGGTTGTATAAGTATTGTAGTAGTAGAGCATTGTAGTAGTTTTCTTATATTTTATTTCACAATTGTAGGTATTAGCTCTACCACATTTGCCTGCACACAGGGGCCATCCGGATTGTCCTCAACATGATATTAATGATGGTTTCAGGGCTATCATTAATTATGTTCAACAGTTTCCTGACATTGAGGTACATTTGAGAACTTTCCTCATTGGATACGTTGAAAGATACTGGTTGTCTCAAGTTGGACCAAGGATCTTGAGCATTTTTGGATGTGAATACAGGACCAATAATTATTTGGAATCGTTTCACTCCACTTTGTTAACACAAATGTCAAAACACCCTAATATATGGGATTTTATCCGTGAGTTTTTCCTATAAATATTATATTTCTATAATTCTAATATATAGGTTTCATTATATTAAAAAGGTGCATTAATTCTTCCTTTACATAATCAATATCTATCATTTGTGTTTAATCATTGGTATATTTTGCTTATTACAGAGAAATTGACACTGATTGAAAATCAATGTTTCGTAGAACTACACCAAGCACGACAAAATTATACGGTACTTTATTCTAAATTTAGTATTTAATAAATATATAATGTAATATTAGTAATTATTAGTTATAACTAATAAGTAATAACACAGTATAAACAAAAACGATTCATAAATAAGAAAATATATAAAATTTACAGATTAGAGATACAACTTCCAGACAGGAAAGGTTTATAAAATCGCAAGTAATTCGTGAACAAATACAGACGTTGAATGTCGATGGGGATATACTAATGTTCCTCAGGAGGGCAGGCCATCATAACGATGGATATGTTCAAGGACAGATTGGTCCATTTCCTGTAAGATATTTAACTATGAATTTTGATAATATTTTACAAGTGAAGATATAAAATAGTTTGTAGTTATTTTTTCTGTTAACATTTTTACAGGATAACAACATTTAACTATAAATCTCCTGCTGGAAAGACGTTGGTGGCACAAACAAATGTTTTTATAGACTACCTAGGTATATAAATATACTTAATATGTTATGACAGTATGTGATAATCACAAACTTTTTTATACCTAATGATTTTTTGTAATTGTGTTTTATTATTTATTTATATTTATTGCTTGAATAACTAATTTTAGATTTTAGATTCTAAACAGAACGATGAATGTAATGATTTTACAATGATATGTGTATTGTGTATAAAAGTGTGATTTACATTTTATAATATACCTGCTATTATATTATGTTTTAACTGGAAATCTTGAAATGAAGAAAAAGATTTTAGATTGTTATTTGTCATAATAGATTTATAATTATTATAATAATTTTATAAATAATTTATTTAATACCAAATAAAAATGGCTTATTTAAAATTATGTAATAAAATTAGTAAGTATACCTGTATACATAATATGAAAAGACTATATGATATTCATATTATATATTTGGATAATAAAATATTCAAATAGTAACCAAATTTAATTCAATAATACGTGAAAAAAAACATACTTAACCTAAGTTTGTAACATTTTACCCAAGATCAAAACAATTATCTAATACTTTATTTATTGTAATATTGTTAACATATTATTATATTATAAATAAATTACCTGGTTTGTATCGACCGTGCATTATGAAAAGTTTCCATATAGTCGCTGTGTACTGTGTAGTCACAACACTAACTAATTATTCAGTCACAAATATTATATTGTGAGTGTCAAATGTTAATTGTATATACTGCAAAGTGCAAGTGTTCAAAAAGTTTAAATTTAAAACCACTCAAATAACTCGTTATCGCCACATTGAAAATATATTTGGTTATTTTGGTCATCTGATTAACTGATTTATATCAAATCACGGTCTTATTGATTTACCCCCATATACCGACCCCTTCCCATACCGTGATAATGAATAATGATATTAATATAATATTGTAATGTTATTATAAATATTATTTATATTATAATTTAAAAGTACCTATTAGCTATTTATAAAGTATAAACTTACAATGGATATAATTTATAGGACGGACTACGTTTCGTACAGTATCTCACCATGAGCCCAATTAAATTCCCATTCGGAATTTTTTTTAATATTTGACGTTGGTAACAAAACATATTCCTTATCACGATTGGGATAACTGTACCCAGCCCGCTCGCTACAGTGTCAATGTTAACATTCAAAAACATAACCTGATTAATGATTCGTTATCATAATTTATAATCTATAATTATTGATAAAGCGATTTTTGTATGATTTTTTTGATTTTTTGATGGTATTTTGAAGCTATCTATTTAACTACTGGAAAATTTGTTACACCGACTATTTAAATGGAATCTCCATAAAATTCCCTATCGATAAACATAAGGTTTGACCATTTATCGTTCTCCTATGTGGGATTAATCTCATCCACAAACAGACGACCACAAAAGTTCTGAATAGATACTACATACCTAATATTATAATATATTAATATACATCTGTCATTTATTTATTAACTATACGTTTATACCTATTGTCCAGCGTTAGTAGATTTAAAGACATGTCATATTATAATATTATAACAAAATACATTTAGTTATAATCATTTTCGAGACGTATACACATCATAAGCTTTGATGATTGAAATTTAAAGTTCGTCAATTATATAAACAATTGTTCATGGTTAATACTCTTAATTAGATTTACTATCGATGTGATTATATATTTATATGAATAGGTAACTACCTACTTCTAGGAAAACTACTGGCATAGAAAGTTGTATGTTTGTGGCGTAATTACCAAATGCGAACTTACGTATAAATATGTAATAGTTTTAAAGTCCAATAAATCATTTATAATAAGATAATATCATACTTTTAAGTTCCCAAACGTTTCGGTTTAGGCCCTTCTAAAACGTACTCTCGGAGCCGGGGGTCCTCGAACACCCCCCTAAGTGTATTTTGGAAAAGGTTTAGTTTTTGTATGACGTTTCTGAAACTCAAGATTTGTATAGTTTGGAGGTCGGTGATCAAATTCGGCGTCTTTTGGGGCTTCAAAAGTTCAAAATTTGCATTTTTCGGAGTTTTCGTTGCTGACACTTAAATTTTGGGCATTCCGAGCCGTTTTTGTAGTCGGGCATTATAGAGCACTTTACGCCTGAACGATTGGCACCGAGATCGTGGTGATCCGACTTTTTGTTCGGGAGTTATGATTTTTAAAGTGTTTTTTGTACTTAAGAAATTACGTATTTACGTGTTTTTAGATTTTTTTTTTCGTTTGATCACTACAAAATTCTAAAATCTGATCATTCGGCGTACGAGGATTCAAAAAACCTCTATGGTCAAAATACGTACGACCATTATTTCGCCCGAAATCGTAGTAGCAAATTAAAACAAATTATGCTATTTTTCGTATTATCAAGGCGTCTCCTTGTGGTATACGCCTGTGTAACTATCAAGTAATAATTATTTTGAACTTTTTTTTACACTTATTTTAGTAGGCGTGTACCTCTTTATTCATTAATGTAAATCGATAGGTATATAAGAATAAAATATTAAAACCTATAAAATAATATTTCAATTCACTCTAATATATGTATTTGAGCTAACAACACAAAATTGGATGTATATTTTGAAGTACTAGCTCCTTCAAAATAAGTCGTATCGTTATGAAACCTTCAAGGATCAAAGCAGACAACCCTCGAGATCAAATTTATTGTCTCAAAAAAGCCGCGACTCGATTTTAAGTTTGAGAAATTGGCAAAAGAAAATTTCCCGCCAATTTTATTTTTGAAAACATCAAATATTATCAAATACCTAAGACACAAGTAATATAAAATAATCATAGGCTAGCAATGCATATTTTAGAATTTTTAATGAAGTTCTAAGCTGATAGATTCTAAAGATGAGTACGCCGACATTTCTAACTGGGTAGTCATACTAATTATTAACACTCACAACCTAACCTAACCTAACCTTTTTTTTTTTTTCCTGTTTGAATCGCACGCCAGGGAGGGAACTAGGTTTCCCCATTGCTGCCTCCCTGGGCGAATCATTTATTAATGAAGATCACACAATACAATAAATGAACTAGACAAATATTTAATTTAACAAATATGGGGGCCTCTAACCACCCTGAAGTGGCCGTTCAGCCCACAATATGCAGTGCTTAACTAATTTATAATTATATATCTGCAAGCTGCCGTTCTCTTTCCATTTCCTCCTTACAGCCCATGATGTCTTCTACCATGTGGATGAACAATTCCCAAAAAAAGTGATTCTCCTCCTGGTTGGCAGGTCCTCTGGCAGCTCTGCTGGAACCGGCCCGCAAAGCACGTTCATTACATCGTCGGGACGAACAGGTCTTCCCAGTGACTGCTCCAATTGCCTTCTTTCACCACTCCAATGCATGCACACGAACAACGTGTGCTCAGCATCATCTGACTCCGCCGGGCATTGTAGGCAGGCTGGGTTTCGCGCCTTGTCTCTGGTCCACAGGTACTTCTGGAAGCATCCGTGTCCCGTGAGAGCCTGAGCCATATGAAACGTTATTTGCTTCGGGCCACTGTACCACCACCTGGACAAGTCAGGGATAAGTCTTTTTGTCCATGCTGCCTTGTTTTGAGTGGAATCCCATAGGGCCTGCCACTGTACGACCGTGTCGGCTATGGCTTCAGGCTTATAGATAATATCTCCACTCTTCTTTGCCATCGCTGTCTTCTTCCTGCATTGCGCAAGGGTGACCGGCGGCATCCTGGCTAGAACCAGCGAGGCCATGTCCGACACTGTGCGGTAGCATCTAGCCACCCTCAGCGCCGCACACCTCTGGGCTTGTAAAAGAGCGTTCCTGGACTTTTGAATTGCGTCTGCGCTGTCAGCCCAAACTTCAGCACCGTATAATAGTCGGCTATGGACCACGCTCATGAGGAGTTTCCGCTTTGATTGGGAAGGACCACCAACGTTAGGCATGAGCCTCCCGAGGGCCGCTGCGGCTTTCCTTGCCCCAACCGCCACTGAGGTCGCGTGGTCGACGAAAGACAGCCTTGTGTCCAGCCGAACACCAAGATATCGGATTGCACGTTCGACGGGGATATGGCAGCCCTGAATGTAGAGATCAGGATTGCGGTAGGCCTTCTTATTGGTGAGGACCACACACTCTGATTTTTCCAGAGCGAGGCGGAGACCGTTGGTGGTCATCCATTCGACGATATCCACCAGTGTGGGGTTGACCAACTGCTCGACTAGCTCGGCATTGTGGGCCACCGCCACCACAGCAACATCGTCCGCAAAGGCTACCAGTCTGACACCCTCTGGTACTGGAAGCCGGAGTACACCATCGTAGAATATATTCCAAAGTGTCGGCCCCAGGACCGAACCCTGTGGAACGCCGCATGTTACGGGAATGTTCGTGTCTTCGCCGATTATGAGCTCCCTGTCCTCCATATATGACCTTAGAATTTTCACCAAGTAGTGCGGGACAGAAGATCTCCGTAGCGCCTCGTCGATGAACCTCCAGGGCGCCGAATTGAACGCGTTCCTGACGTCAAGGGAGACAAGTACGCACAGGTCCCTGTTCTGGACTGGACCGCGTTTGGCCGACTCGGCTACTCTGAGGACCTCTTCGATGGCACCGATGGTGGATTTGGACCGCCTGAACCCGTACTGATTGTCACTTAGGGCACCAACCCTAGCGATGTGTGTCTCCAGCCTGTTGAGCAGCACCCTCTCGAATACTTTGCCCACTCCGTCCAACAAGCTGATTGGTCTATAGCTCGATGGGAGGTCTCGCGCTTTGCCCTGTCCCTTGTACAAGAGCACAAGTTTTGCGCGCTTCCACCTTGCTGGGAAAACCCCGCTGAAGAGACATTTGTTGTAGCAAGTAGTAAACTGCTCTGGAAATTTTTTGTAAGCCAGTCTA